ACTGCTCAACCCATGGCTTATCCCCAATATTCCCCCATGGATCCCCATGGCCGTAGCGGCTCTAGACCGGTGCCTCGGAAGGATCCTCAAGCACTTCGTCGATGAGCTTAAACGTTCCCTCCTCAGTAAGAAGGGCTTGCTAGTCTGCTAGTAGGGGCTTTGCTGCCTTGCTTTGAGACAAGGCTCAAACAGGCCTTTTTTTCAGGAGGTGAGTTGTTGTTGGCCCGACTATCTGACTATGATCTGCTTAGCTGTACTGCCGACCCAAGGCTCTTGAGAAGAGCAATGCTCCAAAAGGCGGCACATGATTCGGCAGCCGAAGCGATGCCGGGCCTCTGCGAAGCTTTTCAGCAGTAAGTACTGCAATAGAAGCTCAGAGTACAGCACTTGGACACCGAGAACGTGGCATGGCAATGCACAAAAGCAGTGAAGCATGTGGCAGTTTGGAAGCTCAAGCACACGCAGACACGAACACACGTTGCGAGTTCACAGCATTCAGGCCGCACATGGAAGGACCATGCTCACAGGCCTCTAGCGCGAGCTTGATGCATACGTTCCATGTGCAGAGAAGGGGGCAGACGTAGCCACGAATGCGAGCAGGTTTCGAGCGTGAGGGCAGAGGGCAGCGCCGTGCCGCAATGCTTCCAGCGAGAGCGCAGGACGCCGCCGTTCAACCCCTTACCGTAAGACTGCCATAGGCACTGCCTTGACTTTGGGAAGTCCTGCCCACCCACATGTGCAAGAGTGTTACAGCATTCAGGTCCAGATTCCAGATTGCGCACATGATGATGCGCGCAGGCACAGCAATGCACTGTGCATGTGTGCAAAGGTGCTCTCGACGCCTTTGAAGGAGCGGCTTAAGCTTATAGGGCTTAAGGGCTTATAGGGCTTAGGCCACACACTAAAGTGTACGACACCTCAACGGCCACAAAACGCCAAGCGCTACGGTAAGCTATGGAAACATTATGGGTAGTTTCGCCTCCTTGGCTGCTCCCAACACTGAGAGCGGGCAATTCGTCATCTCATGCATTTATATGCGTCGACACTCCAAACACAGAACTTCAGGAAGCTACGCTGGGGGAGCCTACTGTGACGTGCTTTTCGCATCGAGGCTTCGGCGAATCGGGCAGCGTTGCCGAGAAGCTCTTCCCCAATGAACGACGAGGTTGCCGGGCTGAGCTGCGTGATGACCTCTCGCCCAGAGGGTGGGCCCGAAAGTGGGAAGTGTGGAGACCTGTAGAGGCCCTCTCCCGAAACGGTTCGCCTTCTGGATGACGTAGTTGGCATGAGGCGAGACGGCGGCTTCCCGCACATGTCCATGAAGTTCAGCCGCCAAGTCCTACCAGCAGTCAATTCAACTCGTACAGTCGTCGTACAGTCGTACAGTCCTGACTGCTCTACCACCGGCCTTGGCAGCACCATTACTGGCCTTCTCCATTGCCATTTGCACCTAGCTTGCGCAGCTTTGAGGGATGGCTGACGACGTGGCCGGGGGCCAGCCCACGAGCTCTGCATAGTCTTCCAAGCAGATTGAAGCTAGCGACCACGCGGCATCCATTGGCGTCGCGGGACAAAGGCCAAACCTTGTGGTCTTGTGCTTGTTTTGCAAACGGGTTCATTCAGAAACTGTTCAACCCCATTGCATCCTGGCTGCCTTGCCAGAGATCTCGGACATGGCCAAGGACAGACAGTCACCCCCAGCCTGACATGATCGCACATGATTCTCGCCAACGCACGGATCCTCGTCGCAATCTGCTCTATGCCTGCAACTGCTGACGAAGCTCGTCACAGCGCTCTTTTGATAGCACAGCATCCTGATCAGCGAACAGCATGCACATCCTGCCAAGAGCGGGATCGGAATGCATCTGCTGGCCTCTACACCACGGGCAGAGCTTGGAATCATCCCGGGTACCTCGCAATGTCGTTCACATGTCAGTACATCAGCAGAAGATTGTGTATGATAATCTAAATCTGCTCTAATACATTAATATATGTAAGCTGTCAACTGCTACAGTAGCTGCTGTCAATCTGGAGGCCTGTGAACGCAGCTTCGTCCACCACTTCAGCTACACCAGCGCGCCTTTGGCTGTGGGGTCCGCATGCGCCGGCGTCGGCGTTGTCCACGGTTCTCCTGGCCGTATCTTCTTGTAAATCTGACCTGGTCACCTGCGTGATCACACTTGCCTCGTCCTCCATGACCCCTCCGTATTCGTATCCAGGGGCCTGCAGCTTTGATTCCACAGCGATTTGCCCAGCAGCTATGCAACTTGAATCTAGCCAGGGTGCCATGTCAGGGTAGGAGTCGTAGCCGCTGTTGAAGTTCCTCAGGTCAGCTGGCACTTGAACCAGGAAGAAAGTTGAAGCATCTTCAAACATCACGTGCGTCAGCACCGACGAAAAACTTTTCCAAGTTCCTGGCTCCATGGGCCCCATCTGCGGGGAGTTCATGTGGGGGGAATTTGGAGCAAATGTCCACCCGTTGTAGTCCGGGCTGGTGGCCACTGGGACCGCCTGCGGTGGTATTTCACGCATGGCAGCACGTTGCAACACACGCTGCAGAAACACGGGCTCCGCCTGAGCTTGCCCCGGCATCTGTCCCTGCATGACAGGTCCGGATGCGTTGACGATGACGGGCACCTAAATGCCGAACATGCAAGGGGGGAACAGCACTGTCCGGTGCTCACTTCTTACGACCAAGGTCCCCTACCAACATTGTCACGTAAGGCTGCAGTACCTTTGTGCCAAGCTGGTGCTAACGCAGCAGGCTAGCAGCGCGAGCAAGAGTTTGCACCACTTGCAGCGAGATGGCCTGCATGACAGGCTGGTTGGATGAAAGATCCTGAGTTGATGTGGTGTGGTCAAAGAAACTCAAGCAGCCACAGCTGCCATGATCCAAGCAGCACAAGCTTGTTTGCTTCTAAGCGGTCCTGTGCCACAAAGGGCTGGTTGGGCTCTGCAACGGCAATGACTTCACACCTGTCGGCTCGGACTGAACTTGCATACTTCAGGGCCACTCATTTCCCAACAGGTATCTGAGACGCGCACGCCATGCTGCCTTCTGGGCTGCTGAAGCGAGAGGAAGCGAGTGAGATAGAGCGAGCACGCTTTGCGATGATTGAATTGCTATATGGCTGGCAGCAGAGGAGATGTTCGTCGCACCACACACACACCAATCAGGCGTTCAAGGCCCACCAAAGAAAGTTGCCGGTTCTTCGCCGTGATGGTGCGACCCAACTCTCGAATCTGCAAACCACAGCCAGTCAAATTCGAAAGCGGCTGAGGCTGGCACGAAAGGGCGAGATTGCTGGCGCTTGCTTTGGCATTGGCAACCCTCTGGATAGCCTTGAGCATGGCCGAAAGCAAGAAGTCAAGTGAAGCACAGCCACTTTGAGGCCTGGATGTAGTACGACTTGGCTTCGTCAAGGTACTGTGTTGAAGCGGTCGTTCGCCTGGACTGTGCTGGCACCGCTCAAGACCTCTACTGTCTGAAATTGGAACAATGAAGCAAGACAGCGTAGTGGCTCCTCAAAAGGGCAGCTCGCTTGAACGCGAGGTTGCCCTTGCCCACGAGAAGTCTCCGAACAAGGAAACAGCACTGACCAGCAGATGGGTACATTAAGCACCAACCATGAGTCGAGCCTGCTCTTTCAGCTCCTCGATTGACAAGCCCTCGCTTGTGGAAGGAACCTTGCATCTGCCGGGTACCCACGTGGTATCACGTGGCCACTTGGCTCATCTACACTTTTCATGTCGAGGCCCAGGTTGGGAGTCCCACACTCTCACTGCCGGAAGAAGGGGCGGGAGGTGTAGTAGAGTCCGTCGGCGCCATGGCAGCCATGAGTCCATCGGCATTCGCGAGTATACCCGTATACACCCATACTAATGGAAAGTGGTGTGAGCGAGTGACCTCCTTACTGTCAGTCTGTGCTTGCAGTTTTTTGGTATTGGTAGTTACCATTGCTCAAGCCTGAGAGGTGGCTGAAGCAGGATAAAGCATTCGAAAGCCGAGAGCACCTCAGGCGGTGTAGGATGGCAGGGCTGCCGGGTTGAATTTCAGATGGGCACGCCAAAGAACACCCGGCTTATCCCGGCTTGAACGCAACCGATCCCGGGCAACAGGCAACCCAATGGGTCAAAGCTCCCGGTCTTCAGATTCGAAGCTTTCACAAATGTTGACAGCATTGTGCGACTCAGCCACGCACAAATCATCATTTGCTGCATCATGAAGGAGCATCTTCATGCACAAGGACAATTGTATAGGCTGGCCTTGCTTGTCAACTATCCGCTCAGCCTGTCTCTTCACTGGTGTCAGCAGTGTCTTGACTTAGCCACGCACAAATCTGAGCATACATCAGTGCGGAACAGCAGATGGTCAAGTCGCATCAATGCCCATCGCAACATGCAACAATCGGTTGGATCATCCGGCACCAAGGCATGGAGAAGCATATGCACCAGGACCAGCCTGCTGGGTTTGCCCACATTTGCCCTGGTGTGGGCGTTCATGTTGAAAGACGTCACGCAAACGGGGCGGAAGGGAAGGTTCCTGTCCGAAGCCTTTGCGTGGCAGTGCACAGACGTGAAGCCAAAAATGCGTTCTGACGTGAGCCCATGTGAGCACCACCTGCGCAAAGGTGCAACCAAAGCTGCTGCGCCGCTGCACACGTCTGTAGCACCAAAGTACTGAACGAAACCGTTGGAATCCGCTACTGCCGCTACCGCCGCTACCGTGTATCCAGTCGCCTCGAACAGTGTCTGCTTCGATTGCCGACTTTGTGGGAGCCGAGGGATGTTAAGGGTACAAGCTGCCTAGGTGTTGCTTGGAACTTGGAACGGAGTATGTCGGCATAATACGTGGGGTGAAGCAGTTTTCGATTTCAGGGACATGCATCGCACTGCAAAAGAAGAGTGTGCGTACTGTCTATTTCATTCGATTTCCCTCACACTTCCTGATGCTGGCCTATTAGCACGTTTGCATGAAAGATATGCACCGCGTCTTTTGTTCATCTTGACTCCGGAGATTTGCTCCCAGGAGATGTGACGAGCTGCTCTGCCGAGTGTTTCGGCCTTAGGGAGGGGAGAACCGCTGACTCGCCAAAGGAAAACATGGGGACAGACGCTGTCATCAGAGTTCCACACGGGCAGCAATCGAATATGATGCCGCATAGGACGAGAGGTTGTCCTGGCGGACGTCGCCTCGGGTGGGCGACACTGATGGCCTAAGAATGACAGCGTTCGAAATGCAATGTACATGGTAACATAATACAGGCTGCAAGCAAAGGCAAACAGTGTGGCCCAGGCCAGGCCTGGTGATCTCCAGCATGAGTGGCACGAATAAGCACATGCCAACCAAAGTGAGCCTCTGCTAAGGCTGGAGAATGAATCAGGTGCCCGGATGGCCGGATATCCACAGGAATCTTATCCATTGACAGGGCACATTGCGAGCACAGCTGCCCAGAAGAACTTGGTGAAGCCCGCAAAGCACGCATCTGCTGTGGATCGAATGCGTGTACTTTGGCTGATAAGATGAAAAGATTCCAAAAAGCCACAGACGCCAACACTTCCGCACCTCCCGGAATTGGATGGCTTGAAGTGACCTGCGGAGGCTATGGCCATGGAAAAGGACCCTCCGTGCCTCTGTGCACCTGGAGAATCTGCAAGAGATGCCCAGTGGTGGCACATCGCCAGGTAGACCTCTCATCTCTGCTACCCCCTCCATCTGCAACAACATGCAACAACCCTTGACAAATTTGATCTCCCCCCTCCCACCCCCCTGCTGGGTAACCAACATGGCGGAGATGTTGGCATTCTCAGGGCCGACCCTGGCAGATGCTGACGATGTCACAGGCAGAGTGTGCATCGCTTTGCAGCAACCCTCACTCACTGGGTCTATCGCTCACCAGGACTGCTGCTCAGTGCTAGTGCCGAGCCTTGCAGACTTCCGGTGGACACTGTGAACGTCGAGTGCAAACGACCGAGATCGATTCTTCGAGTTGGCGATCTGAGATGCCGGCTTGCGTTGCCATGCTTGAGATGTGCTCGCTGAATCCAGTGGCACCCTGTTGCACCAAGAAAATGCCAAGCAGCTGTACTCAGCACAAGCATGTAAATGCTCGTCCAGTTCGAATTGTCACGTAACCTCCTGGACAAGCCAGAAGCAGCCATGCAAGTATGGTTACTCGCATGGAGGCCTCGGCAGACCAACCCAGAGCTCAAATCTGACGCTCATCAGGCAATTCACAAGTGAGGAAAATGTAAATCCAGCGCCTCGCTGGCCGAACTGCTCCAAGATATGAAGTGGTTGTCGACGCGGGGTTGCGTAAGTAGGTGTTGCTATCAGATGCTTCGTTCTTGAGTCGAAGTTTGCAGGCACAGGCACAGGTTGCACAAGCCGCCGGATGTTGTGTCACTTCCCTGTTCAGTGTGCTGGATGCGACAGCCAGGCTGGACCCAGGCTGACCTTCCACCCTTCCACTTGCACATCAGCAGACGCTAGCGGACAGAGACCAAAGAGACATAGAGACCTTTGCTGCACGTCTCCCCGCGAGTTTGTCGAGGCAGCAGGTCTCCCCGGAAAAAAAGCTGACGCGCAGGGCGAGTAGCCTCCTCAAATCGCGCAGAGGTGAAGCTGTTCCCCTCCATGCTGAAGAGGCTGAACAGGCCGCGTCTTACAAAGGAATTTTCGCACATGCACAGCTCCGGCATCCGACTTGTGCTTCAAAATGGGCTGCCAAAGGGTTGCCATACCCACAGTCTTGCGCGATTGGTTATAGTAGACTAATGTAGACTATTGCCGCTAAAGTTTCACTAGCTTCGCTAGATTGATGCTGGGTCAGACTCGGATGCCGCTTGTAGTGCATGTGGGCCAGGGCTCCTTGGGATGCGCCCTGAAACTGCTACATTGACAGCCAGCAGCAGCTGTAATCTCAACATCTCAAGGCCACAGTCATTGCATTTCTTTTAGCCGCGTTTGTCACCTCCTTCCAAGCCTTTCGCCTCACTGCTGAGCACTGCTGCCGTTTGGCCTCCACAAAACCTGCACCAGTCTACAGATGTCTACAGATGCGTCTCACTTTCGAAGACAGCGATCGGTGCAAACCGGGTGCAAACGAGGAGAGGGTCGTGCTACACTGCGGGCCATATCTCAAGCGGTGTCTAAGCCTGTGGGACATGTCGATGTACTGGGCCATCTCTGCCCTCAACAGGGTTCACTCAGTGGCCGGCCCAACTTTGCAAGTCTGGCTTCAAATTGCGATGAGTTACAACACACCAGAGGTGCGTGTTTCGGCAAGTTGTCGTGGCCAACGTGCGAAAGCAAGCTACGAAGTGGCATTCCGCGTTGCATCCGTAGTCGGACCCACATGCCAACATTAAGTGTACAATGTACAACATTGTACAACTATATCTTGCAGCTTCGGCAATTTGGCCACTGCTTTTTTCAGAAACAAACAAACATGCATGGACACGTAGACTCGGCACTCGGCTAATGCCGCGGTGTGGAGCAAGATGCTTAAAATAGACTTACAGAATACGAGTGATAGCTTCCGGACTGAATCATGACATAAGCGATCGAACCTGGATGTTTTCTTGCACAAACAACACATAACTATGTCAATAATCAGGACTGGCGATAACGGGTACAAAACATATAGTAACAGCTCATAGCCCGTGCTGCTGACTCCTCAGCAGTGGTCGGTCTCGTCACTGCGCTGGGAACTTCTATCCTGCACCGGTTCTTCACTGATTTCACTGGCTGCGGGCTCTTATCTGTGCATGCATCATCATGCGCCCAACCTCCGTGGACATTGCCGAATCAGACGGAGGACACGTGTACTTGAAATCCAACTGGAATTCCTGCCGAGAGAGAGAGAGAGAGAGAGAGAGAGAGAGAGAGAGAGAGAGACAGAGAAAGAGGTGCACGCAAATGCGATCAACGGACAGCTGTGCAAACCGAAGAAAGTCAGACAGCCAGTTCGCAGCACCTCTGGATCCACCAGGTCTTTGCATAGTCCTTCAGCAAGCTCTGCAAGACCTTGCAAGTACCAGCTGAAAAACCTGCCCCCAAATGTCGTGCCCTCATGCTTCCGGCTGATTAGAAGATTGAAAATGCCCCCGAAGCTCCAGACGCTTGTTAAACCATGTTAAAACAACTCCCCCCCCAATTATTTGGCACGATTTGACCAGACCGGAGGAGCGCATCATGAGCATCAGCGGGGTCTGCTTCTTGTCACGTGGCACTCGAAGCTCCAGACACTTGTTAAACCAACTCCCCCCCAGTGATGTGGCACGATTTGACCCAGGGGGAAGAGCGCATCATGAGCATCAGCGGGGTCTGCTTCTTGTCACCTGGCCCCCGAAGCTCCAGACACTTGTTAAACCAACTCCCCCCACTTATTTGGCACGATTTGACCGGGCGGGAGGAGCGCATCATGAGCATCAGCGGGGTCTGCTTCTTGTCACGTGGCCCTCGAAGCTCCAGACGTTTGTTAAACAATGTTAAACCAACTCCCCCCAATGTTTTTTCATGTTTTTTCACGATTTGAACAGGCGGGAGGAGCGCATCATGGGCGTCAGCGGGGTCTGTTTCTTGTCACAAGCTCCAGGCGCTTGTTAAGCCAACTCCCCCTCCCCGCCCCCCAATCTGTTTCTTGTCCCGTAGCCCCCGAAGCTCCAGACGCTTGTTAAACCATGTTAAACCAACTCCCCCCACTGATTTGGCACGATTTGACCAGGCGGGAGGAGCGCATCATGAGCATCAGCCGGTCTGCTTCTTGTCACGTGGCCCCCGAAGCTCCAGACGCTTGTGAAAGCGCATCCTGAGCATCAGCGGGGCCTGCTTCTTGTCACCTCGCCCTCCAAGCTCCAGACTCTTGTTAAGCCATGTTAACCCAACTTCCCCAGTGATTTGGCACGATTTGACCAGGGCGCATCATGAGCATCAGCGCGGTCTGCTTCTTGTCACGTGGCCCCCGAAACTCCAGAAGCTTGTTAAACCATGTTAAACCAACTCCCCCAGTGATTTGGCACGATTTGACCAGGCGGGAGGAGCGCATCATGAGCATCAGCGGGGTCTGCTTCTTGTCACGTGGCCCCCGAAACTCCAGAAGCTTGTTAAACCATGTTAAACCAACTCCCCCCAGTGATTTGGCACGATTTGACCAGGCGGGAGGAGCGCATCATGAGCATCAGCGGGGTCTGCTTCTTGTCACGTGGCCCCCGAAACTCCAGAAGCTTGTTAAACCATGTTAAACCAACTCACCCCACTGATTTGGCACGATTTGACCAGGCGGGAGGAGCGCATCATGAGCATCAGCCGGTCTGCTTCTTGTCACCTGGCCCCCGAAGCTCCAGACGCTTGTGAAAGCGCATCCTGAGCATCAGCGGGGCCTGCTTCTTGTCACCTGGCCCCCCAAGCTCCAGACGCTTGTTAAACCATGTTCATCCAACTCCCCCAGTGATTTGGCACGATTTGACCAGGGCGCATCATGAGCATCAGCGCGGTCTGCTTCTTGTCACGTGGCCCCCGAAACTCCAGAAGCTTGTTAAACCATGTTAAACCAACTCCCCCAGTGATTTGGCACGATTTGACCAGGCGGGAGGAGCGCATCATGAGCATCAGCCGGTCTGCTTCTTGTCACCTGGCCCCCGAAGCTCCAGACGCTTGTGAAAGCGCATCCTGAGCATCAGCGGGGCCTGCTTCTTGTCACCTGGCCCCCCAAGCTCCAGACGCTTGTTAAACCATGTTAATCCAACTCCCCCCAGTGATTTGGCACGATTTGAGCAGGGCGCATCATGAGCATCAGCGCGGTCTGCTTCTTGTCACGTGGCCTCCGAAACTCCAGAAGCTTGTTAAACCATGTTAAACCAACTCACCCCACTGATTTGGCACGATTTGACCAGGCGGGAGGAGCGCATCATGAGCATCAGCGGGGTCTGCTTCTTGTCACGTGGGCCCCGAAACTCCAGAAGCTTGTTAAACCATGTTAAACCAACTCGCCCCAGTGATTCTTCACGATTTGACCAGGCGGGAGGAGCGCATCATGAGCATCAGCGGGGTCTGCTTCTTGTCACGTGGCCCCCGAAACTCCAGAAGCTTGTTAAACCATGTTAAACCAACTCCCCCCAGTGATTTGGCACGATTTGACCAGGCAGGAGGAGCGCATCATGAGCATCAGCGGGGTCTGCTTCTTGTCACGTGGCCCCCGAAACTCCAGACGCTTATTAGACCAGCTCTTCCCAGTGATGTGGCACGATTTGACCCAGCGGGAAGAGCGCATCATGAGCATCAGCGGGGTCTGCTTCTTGTCACGTGGCCACCGAAACTCCAGACGCTTGTTAGACCAACTCCTCCCAGTGATTTGGCACGATTTGACCAGGTGGGTTTCTGCACGTGGCCGTATCTCTTCTTCTGGCTTTCCTGGTTTCCGAAGCTGGCTTTCTGTTGCATCCCGAGCGAGTTGAGGAGCACGCTAACAAAATGTTACTAAAAGAAAGTTCTGCACGTGTGGTACCCCGTGAGATCAACAAAATACAGTACAGTAAGCTTCAGAAGGATGATTGGGTGGACATCAGCCGACATCAGCCCCTTTTGCTGAAATCTTCCGGCCGGGCCATGGCTTCGAGATTTTCATATTGGGCTGCTTCAAATTCTTCCTACTGGCGGGTGTCCATGAAACCGTCCCATGAACTAGACATTGATGGCCCATTATTGTGCCTTGCAGCTCCAATCCAAGGCCAGGCGGGGGCTCGGTCCCTAGCCTCAGAAAGCTGACAATTGCGAACTCCGACCTGCCTTTGAGTGCTTGGGCCCGTGCATGCTAGCGGCAGTTGGAGGCCACGCTGGTGGCAACGTCACCCTTTCATGCTTTCATGGACACATGCACGCAAGCCGCAAGTCGCATCCAGCTTCAGAACACGTAACCGCTACGTATGCAACCACGTTTTCCGAGGGGCGAGCCCTGGGACACCAATCGAAGGGTCAATTCCAGGAGGAAGAAGTGGAACTGCTGCACTGGGAAGCATGAACCTTGGGAAGTGTCATGGCCACTCAAGGCCAATCCGCAGGACAAGCAACGACGCGAGCTGCATCGAGCCCCGAGCAGGCTAGCGTCGTCTGGCCCTGCCTTGCATGCAAAACACTGCCAGCTCAAACAGCAGTCCAAGATGGTGCAAGACGAGTAACTTG